ATAAATAATCATCATAAAATTAAAGAGAAAGAGAGACATTAAATTAGAGAGAAGAGCGTTGTACACAAGCAGAGATGCTAAAAGGTTGATGTTAACTTGAAAACTGCCGCTTTGTGACATTTTTCATGAGTTTTCAGACAATCTTAAAACTTACTGGGCTGTTTTTTGCTAATGTGTGTGCATTGTATCTCCATGGTAACTGGTAAACATTCCACCAATACACATGAAAATAGAACACCCCCATCTTGATGTCACTGCAAAGTACCAAACTAAAACCATATAAATCACACTCAGCTTGATACAACGAAATGCTACTCAGTTCTGCAGTTGTGAATGGGAAATCTTGTTTATTTCTTTATTTTTTTCACCCAAAATTTCTGTTGCCAAATCTATTTTTGTTTTTTTCTATTTTTCTTGTTCAAGAACAGTGGGTGGCAGTGTGGATGTTTGAACAGTTTTGTCATTGAACTTCTGTATTAGACACACACTGGCCTTTTCTATCCTCTCCTCCCTCATCTTTTCTCTTTTCTCTCTCCTTTTTCTCTACAGTCTCTCCTCTCATCCCCTCTCTTCTCTGATTTCTCGATGTCCTCTCTTTCTCTCCTCTCTGCTCTCCTCTCCCTCACTTGCTTCTCTCCACGCCCCTCTGCCTTCTTCTTTTCTCTCTCTGTCTCCTTTTCTCTCCTCTCTTCTGCGTTTTCTTTCTCTTCTCCACCCTTCCCTCTCTCCTCTCCTTTTTTTCTTTCTCTCTTTTCATCCTCCCTCCTCTCTCTTATCTCTCCGTCTCTTTTCTCTTCTCTCCCCTCCTTCACTTCCTCTCTCCCTCTCTCCACATCTCCTCTGCCTCTCTCTCTCTCTCCATATCGACTCTCCTACACTCTCGCTCTCTTTCTCCATCCCTCTCCATCTTCCACTCCAGTCTCATCTGCCTTTCTTTCTCTCTTCTCTGCTCTCTTCCTCCCTACCTCTCTCCTCTCCTCTTCTATCTCTCTTTCCCCTCCTCTCCTCCCTCTTTTTAGCTTTGTCTGACCCCTCCTTCCTCCCCAATGCCCTCTTCCCTGACCTCCCCTCCTCTTCCTCGCTCTGCTCCCCTCTTCGCTCTGACGCAGCAGTTGTGTTTACATTATGGTTCTAACTGTGTAAATAGACACACACACACATGCAGGCACACACACGCACACACACACACATGCACGCACACACACACACACACACACACCTGACTCTGTTTCTAAAAATAGCAGTGGTGTAAAAATAGTCGTCCAGGAGGTGGAGGTAGTTATGACAAGATGTCCCCAGAGGATGTGGCTTATGCCTGGGATCGGCTTAAAGGCTAACACCGGCACCAGCGCCCGCACCGGAGCAGCCCACACACACACACATGCACACACACACGCACGCACACACTCACTCACACTCACAGGGATCAGGCTAAGTCCACATAATCTAATCATCTCACTATCCACGGGTGTCACAATGATGAAGAGCTAGGACTGTTGTCATGGCGATTAATAATATCTTTTGAATGGGAAAAAGTCCTCAAAACACAAACTGGAAAACATGAATAGGAAAGGTGCTGTGAAGAAATACGGTCGATTTTTAATTTGTTGTTTTGTGAATGAAGAGTATCGTAAAAATCAACTGCTGACTTTAAACAAAATGTGCAGGGATGTACAATAACCAAAATATCGTGATATTGTATCGTCAAAGTTCTCACAGTAATATCGTGGACCATCACAATATATCGAATTACAAGTCTCTGTTTAAATTAAGAGTTATGGTGCAGTAAAAAAAGGCAGAGGGAACTACATACACCATGATCCTTTGCTCCATTTTAGTGTAGACTACATAAAGAAATAACAGTTCTAAACACAAAACTGAAAAAGTAGCATATTCAGTTTTGTTCGCCTCCACAAAATATTGCAATAAATATCGTACCGTGAGATGTATATCATGAAAATATTGTGCCAAGAGATTTGGCTATTGTTACATCCCTAATCTTGAGCTTTCCCATGATATCACAATAAATATCGTAAAGTGAGGTTCATACCGTGACAATATTGCATCGTGACACTTGGATATCGTTACACACCTAAAAATGTGCATGACTTTATGTACCTTTTCTGGTGAAGGATCTGCCGCAGGTTTTCGTGGAGATGAGATAGTTTCCAGATAATGTTTGTCATATGAAATTAAATGTATTTATCACCTTGGAGTCAAGCTGTCAGATCTGTGGAGAGGTGAGCCAGCAGGCTGAATGTTTTATATTTTTGAAAACATCCATTTCAGGTTAGAAAAAAATGGGTCTCCCTGTTCAGTGCTGGTGCCTCTTGCATTATTCTGCACATATTTGTATAAATCATGCTTGTTTTTGTGCTGTGGCTCGACACACAGTGTAAATAAACTGTATATGCACAATGTGCTCTCATGCTCGCTCTTGCTCAATACCACCTCACCCTCCATCTCCACCTCACCCTCCACCTCACCCTCCATCTCATCCTCCACCTCATCCTCCACCTCACCCTCCATCGCCACCTCCCTCTCCAACTCAATCTCCACCTCACCCTCCATCCCCACCTCCCTCTCCAACTCAATCTCCACCTCACCCTCCACCTCAAACTACAACTCACCCTCCACTTCCCCCTCCACCCCACCCTCCATCTCACCCTCCATCACCACCTCACCTTCCCACTCACTCTCCACCTCACCCTCCACCCCACCCTCCACCTCACCCTCCATCTCCACCTCATCCTCCATCACCACCTCACTCTCCACCTTACCCTCCAACTCCACCTCACCCTCCACCTCAACCTCCACCTCACCCTCCACCTCACCCTCCACCTCACCCTCCAACTCACCCTCCACTTCTCCCTCCATCTCACCCTCCAACTCCACCTCACACTTCACCTCGCCTTCCACCTCGCAGCTTCGTCTCACCCACCGCCTCTGCCATGCTCTCCCCCTTTCCCTTGCCCTTTCCCTTGCCCTCCCCCTCGCTCTCCGCCTCACCCTCCACGTCGCCCTCCCCTCTGGCCTCTCCCTGTGCCTCGCCCTTCATGCACGTGGGGGTGTGCTGGATGCCCTCTGCGCTCCACTGCCCTGCCTGCTGCTCGGTGCAGGTCACTCTGTGCCTGCTGTTAGTTACAGTTAGCCTTTAGTGTTTGAGGTGGAGGGAGCGGCTGTCCTGTTTATCCTTTTCTTTGATAAGGTTACTTTTTACTTTTTGGTTCTACAGCCCTGTACGGGGCAAAGCATGCTTTGTTCTGTTTGAGCGGCCCATCAGGTCCACCTTTCTGTTCATACTTTGTTTTTGTCCACAGGAGACGTTTTGGCATTTAAAGTCAATTAAAACTAACCTAAAATAAAATGTTTGGTCTGGTTTGGTTTATGTTTGGTCCACCCGGGTCTTAACACTCCCACTCCAAAAAAGACATTGTGCACCTCTAACAAGCTTTGTAGATCTTAGATTTATTGTTTGCTTTTTTTTTGTAAAATAAATAAATAATAAGAAAAATAAATCACCAAGTCTACTATATGTTTGTATTTCGCCCTTTCAAGTTTGTTGAATTGATGTCACGCTTTCAGATAGGCATCTATGTGATAATCATCTTTGTTCGCAAATACAAATTAGTTGAGGGGATTGTTTCCGTAATCAGGGCATTTTTCCACAATTTAATATTCACTGCAACCTCAGATAGACATTTGAAGTCATATTTTGCTACATTATGTTAAATTCTGGTTGATTACAGATAAATTAGAACCATAGTCTATGATTTGAACCCTATACCCTCTGTCTTTTTTCACTCACAGTCACAAATGTCTCTCTGGTTTGGCAAATTGATTTTGATATAATGTTCATGTAGAAAAATACAAATAAATTATTTGGTCTAGCATTTCAGAACCAACTTTGACATTGTTATAACCACAACACTGACTTGGCTGATATCAAAAGAAACACAATTATAAAGTAGCCTAAAAAGAGAAAGAAAAATAAGAGAAAGAATAATATGACTATTCTGATTATTTTTGATTCATTTTGTTGTTTCTAATCTCTAAAATCAATCTCTCACCTCAAAAGTGTGATATCTGAAAATGCAACTTAGTTTTATTTATAAAGTCATATTTCTGTTTCATATTTTACGGTTTTTGGCATTCCTCCACTTCCTCACATCACCTAATGGAACCCCAAAAATAATCACTCAAGTACAGCAGCGCGCGGAGAGAATTTCAGTCAGTTTCCAGGCAACTCACATACACACACGCCTCTACGTCACATCCTGTCCTGACTCCTGAGCGCGCGCGTGCAGCTGAGACTCGGAGGAGACAGACGCGAGCCGAGCGCGGTGCACCACTGGCATCCACAACACGGACCCCCGCTACGCCGCGTGAACACTGGACTGGATCTGGAATTACGCACGGGTCGGTGTAGAACTCAAACGAAGATATCGCCTTGGATAAGACGTTTTTACGCAGCGCAGTGGTACAACGCTGTGAAAGTTTAACAACAAACCAGTAAGCAAGTTGTCAGTGTTGAACGTTTTCGTGGGGACTCTTCGTGGATATTTTTGGTTTCATCATTACGCACGTATTTATTTGATTTATTGACGCTGTCGTGTTTTCATAAACTGTTTTACGCAGCGCAGTGGCTCCAATCCGACTAACTTCAACAGGAAAGGCGTGCATGTAGTTGAAAATGTTAAAGCTTTCCGTTTGGACTATCGGTGCATATTTGGTTACTTCATTACGCACGTATTTATTTGATGTATCAACGCTAACGTGCTCTCTGTAACAATTTTACGCAGCGCTGTAGCTCCAATCCTACAAACTTCAAAACAGCAAATGCATTTTAAATCTGGCTGAAGATGTCAAACGCTTTCGTGAAGACAGTCGAAGCACCGTCGCCTCCATCCCCTCCTCCAGCGCGCACCTGTTGAAGTTGTATCCCACTTATCGCGCCTCCGAACGGGACAACGAGAGATGCTCTTAACGTTGGCGGTATGATGAGCGCGGATCTGGAGCAGCAGGTTTCGCTCAGCACTTCTTCCTCCCCGTGCCTCAGCTCCGGTGGCTCGGCCGGTCGCGCGCTCTCGGCGAATGTCCGGCGTCTCCACAACTCGCTCAACGTGCTCCTCGACGACGTGGAGCGGGAGCAGTTCATACACTGTCTCAATGTGTACCACGCCAAAAGGAACGTGTACGACTTGGTCCAGACGCTCAAAGTCATTCTAAACACGAGTACGAAAAGACAGCTGTTACCCATGCTGCGTCTCGTTATCCCGCGCTCGGACCAGCTCCTCTTTGACCAGTACACTTCAGAGGGACTGTACCTAAAACCCGAGCTCCTCGCCGGTAACGGGACAACGGAGGGATACGGGGAAGGGGACGATTTGGCGCTGCAGAAGTATGTCACGTGTATCCAAGAGCAGAGCAGCGGTCTTGGTGGGTTCCTAGACTGGCCGTTTTTGGGAGAGGTGCGTAAGGTGACCCTGACCCGTACGCGGAGCCTGGAGGGTTTGGGGTTCAGTATCAGAGGAGGAGCGGAGCACGGAGTCGGGATCTACGTGTCCCTCGTGGAGCCCGGGTCGTTCGCGGAGAGGGAGGGGCTCCGGGTCGGGGACCAGATTGTGACCGTGAATGACATGATGTTCGACGGGGTCACGCACATCGAGGCGGTCAAGGTAGGGTCAGTTAAACAACTGTGTGTGTGGGTGAGCGTGCGCGTGGTGCATGCTTTTTCAATGGCCACCTGCTGTGATTTGAATACAACAACTAGTTCTTTTATGCGCTTATCATTCACTGATGTTGTTGTGTATTGTTCAAAGTGATGTGCAGAAACCAAACACATCATATAAAAACATGGAAACAAGAATTTCTATATACCATTTTTTGCATCAATAACTTTCCACTGCAGTGAAATAAATGGGTCAGTGAGCCACTAAAGACCTATTTTTTCAAACAATATATTTATTGTTTTTTTTTTTTTTGTTTTTTTTTTTTGCAACAGCATAGAATCAGAATTTGAGATTATGTATTCCCTTTCCCACACACCCCCGCTCTGTCATCTAAGAAAGTGAGCCACCAGAGACCTATAATCAGATGTGACTAATGGAGCTGAACTTTGTAAGTAAAAGTGACATTCATTTAAATATAACTCAGAAAAGTACAAACTAATGATCCAAATAATGACTCCAAAAGTAACTAACAAGTTGGACAGAAGAAAAAAACATTCAGTGATTCTGTAATTTCAATGAATAGGCAAAAAATAATGGAAAAGCCAATCTAAAAATTAAGTCTAAGAAACATAAATGTTCAAATCATTCAATATTGTCAACAGAAAAAACAAACAAACAAACAAACAAAAAAACATTTTTTGCGCTGTTTTGAATTACTATTACTTCAAAGTAAATATGACCCAGGTAAGACTAAAAGTATGGTGTCTACTTTGAAAACTACAATTCCTTCAAGTTCAAGTTAAGTAAATGGAACGAGAGGGAGTAGTACAGTACACAAGTGAACCAGGCTGAACCCTATCTCACAAGGAACACTAAAGAAGCTCTGACACAGAAAGAATATAGACAGAAGAGGTCTAAAAAGGATTGTTTCTATACCAGGCAAGATGGAAATATACAGTATATTCACTTAATTTACTTACTGGGTATGTTTTCTTTGTAAAATTGGGGAGATTTGGGGTATTTTTGTTGTAATACGATAAAATTCGGGTCATCATGTCAAAAAATCCTAGCCTAGTGCCTCCGCTCAATTTCATTTCTCTCCAGTAACTAGGTCAGGAATCAGATTACACTAGACGGTACAATCAGCGTAGAGCTGTGAAGCCATGACTAGGTCCCTTTTGTGGTACAGCACAAGAGTAAACAAAGCGGTCAAGATGGATGTAGACGAAGACATACATTCTGTGTTGGCAACGATTCCCGAGATCAAGGATTTAAAACAGGAACAAAGAGAATGTTTGGTGAATTTTATCAAGGGGAAAGACGTTATTGCCCTTCTTCCTATGGGATTTGGCGCATTACATACATCACGACCAAATAGCAACAATTGGTTAAATAAAAATTGCCCGCCTAATGAATCCTAATGCTGCGAAGGTCAGACAGTTTCCACAAAGTGAAACAGGCCGATGAATCAGGCTTAAAAAATGCGACCTCTGAGGATGACTGGAACACACCATTATAACAGTAGTGTAAAATGTAGGGTCTCAGTTATTGTATACCATCAAACTGAAAATGGCTTCTGGATGGAAGCCGAAACATCTTATGTGCAGGTGACTTTGAAACCTCTGAAACTTTTTCTGCACCGGATAAATGTGGATTCTTGATCCCAGGCCCCAGAACAAGCAACCACACACCCACAAAGAGAAGAAATGATATTATGACCGATACGAAATTATGACTGTACAATCACCACTCTTAGATTCACACTTTTCTCATGAAAAATAACTGCCAAAAAGCACAATTCTAAAGCAACTTTCAATAAGAAAAGAAAGAAACCCAGAGTCGCTATAAAGAATTGTACCTGGAAATGACAGGTTTTGGCCTGTAGTATTTCTCCAGACATTTAAAGACTACACAAAATTGACTCTTGTGAGCTTTAAGCCATTTTAGAATGTTGTTACACAGATTGTTGTGTTTTGTTTCATTCACACATGTTTGAGTTACCATTTACAAAGATCAAAATGCTCTGTTCCAGTTTCCAGCCACCTTTTAACTTCAGTTCAGTAGAGATCAGCTATTCTAAGGCTGAAATTATCCAGACAATTTTAGTGAAGGTGTGTGGCGTTTAAAAACACAGTGAAGCACTTCCTTTATTACCACATGACATCACGAGGTGGAGTGTTTTCCGTTTTAGAGAAGAACTCAACCTAAACATATAGGGTTACACAGCTTCATGTATGTTTGTGATGAGGAAACAACATTATAACTGCAATCAGAAAATAGCGTATTGTGGGTCCTTTAAGTGTTTTCTGCATCTATTAACATAAAAGAAACCCAAACTCGCTATAAAGAAGAAGCCAGACAGTCTGACAACCATGATTAGAATGCACGTTTTGGCCTTGTTGTGTTCCTTCATTCATTTAAAACACGCACTGTACTTGTAAACAAAGCTACCACTTCATTACACTGATGTAGCATGGCTCAAACTTGGCTTATCTGTGCATCCATGACAAATTTGTTTCTGGGGGGGGGCATTTTAGTGACACACACAGCCCGGTCCATCCATCTTGTTCAAGGTTAAGAGGATTGGGGAGTTTGGACATTGTGTTATGAAACTGCCAGGGTCACTCAGGCCGGACCAGCTCTGAGGCATGACATTTGAACATGACAGATAAGAAAAGCAGATTTGATTATGAAATTGGTTTATGCTTTGACTTAAAGTTAAGCAGAGATGGGAGTACAAACTGACCCATTCACTTTTAAATCAATAAATGTGTACAATTATACTTAAAGGTCCTATATTATGCAAAAGCCACGTTATAATGTTAGTCCAGTGAGGTTCATTTGGTCTTCCGATAATTTATGTTATTAGGTTCTTTTTTTTCAAACAAACTCTTGGTCTGAAAAAATAATCTAATAACACATGCTATATTGTTGTTACCTGTTGTTTTGTTTCATTCACATGTGTTTGCGTAACCCTCTATTCATTAACAAGGACCAAATCACAACAATGAAAAACGTGATGGATAAATGTGATGGATGGGGGAAGACGCAAAGGTGGGGATTCTGTTTCCAGTCCAAAATGGTCACCCAGCTGATTCCTCCTTGAAGATGATGTCTTCGGACTGAAGGATGGATGAGAGACAGGTGTGGGAGGGAGCTGACACTGCGGTATAGGTCGTATAAATAGAGCTTTTGGGTAATTTAAGGTGTGGTTTAGATGAACCGTGGTTGGCTGAAGTGGAGGTTGAGGCGTGGTCCAGCTCCTGAATCTCAGTTAATCATGTTAACTAGGGGTGTGCAAAAATATTGAAATATCGATATATCGTATCACTTAATGTGATGATGCAGTATCGATATCGTGGGCTGCTGTATCGATATATCACCAAGAGTACTTTTTGGTATATTTTACTAAATTATTTTGTTACAATGCTACAGTTTTGTTGCTTGTTTAGAGGAAGGAAACTTTTTTATGCGACACATTTGATATTTTCACTGTTTTGATGAATAAAATGTTTGTGTTTCATATGGACTTTGCACAAAAATTGGTTTAACAAAGACTTTTAGTATCACAGACAAGATATAGTCTTTATTTTTATTGAACCGTATCAAATCGATTTGAAATATATCATATTGAATCGAAAGCTCACTATATCGAGGTATGTATCGTATCGGCAACTTCATAATGATACCCAGCCCTAATGTTAACTCCATTTATTAGTCTGTCTACATCTCCAAAGCTCAAAATTCTCTGTTCCACCTTGTGATGTCATGTAGTTGTAGTTTTCTAGTTAACAGCTCCTTTTACCTATCGTGATTCATCAGCCGGTTTTACTTCGTTTCACCTCGCAGCATTAGGATTTATTTGCTCGATGGTAGGTGGGTACTTTTTTTAATTTAAACAATCTGTCATGGTTCATGTTTGTAGTGGTTGTATTTGCTCATTTTGGTGTTTTATTTTGACATTTGTGCTTGTAGTTGTGCGTTTTACTTCCTGTCTTGATTGTTTGCCCAGTCCTAATGTGTTTCACGTGTGTCTGTGTGCATTTATACCCTGTGTTCTCCTCTGCCCTTTGTTGGTCCCTTGCCACTGTCAGAGTCTCATCTTGTCTCATGTCATGGCAGTTTAGTTTCAAGTCTTGGATTTTTTGGATTTATGGATTTGTTATTAAAGATCTTTTACAGCAGTCCTGCATTTCGGGTCCTCTCTCTGTTTCTTCATAACACAATCGCTGCTCTTTGGTCGTGACAGATGTAATGTGCCGCTAACTGGTATATTAAACTTTTCCTAAACCCTGTAGGAAGAAGGGTAATAATGTCTTTCCCCTTGATAAAATTCACCAAACATTGTCTTTGTTTCGGCTTTAAATCCTTGATCTTGGGAATCATTGACAACCCTGAATATGTGGAATATGTGGAACCGTCTATTGTATTTTGAGTCCTGACCTAGTCGCTGGAGAGAAAAGAAATTGAGCGGAGGCACTAGGTGACGCCAGCCTGGCTACATTTTACCTTTAGTTCAATAGAAACAGGAAATTCCAGGGCTGAAATCATCAAAATTGCTCTAGTGAATATGAGTTTAAAAACACAATATGCAGGGTTTGTGTGTTAAACATGTGCGAATGAAACAAAACACAACTCCAGGTCTGTTTTTTATGAGGAAACAACATTATAACATAGATCAGAAAATAGTGTAATATGGGATCTTTAACATATTGACATAAAATTTATAAATTCACAAATACAGAAACCATAACTACCTCCTTAACCACTGTAACTACAAAAGTATTACACATGAAGGTGCACAGATCTGACCAGTAACTTGTGGAGCCCTGTGGAGTCACCTGCTTGTCTCCATGGAGATACTGTTTAATGCATCAAAAACATCCTTCACCAAAAAAGCAACATATTTACAACTTCAACTTCTAAAACAAGTTTACACACCAAACCATTCTTTCAAATTCATTTATTTCACTAATAACTTCACCCTTCCACTTTTATCTCTTTAA